TAAGTATATACTATAAAATTAAAATACATTTCTTTTAAATGTATAGCATATTTTTTAATAAGGCAACAACATATGATAGATACGATAGGACAAAACAAATACAGTGCAGCACGAACTGTTTTTATACGGTCTATGAGCACGAAGCGCTTACAATGTGCGCATCCGGTGTGCAGAATGATGCGCTTGAAGCAACACGGCGTCAGGCTGTGACGCCATGTTGCTTCAAGCGCATCATTCTGGACACCGGATGCGCACATTGTAAGCGCTTCTTGTTAAAAACTGCAAAGCACAAAGGGAAGAGAAATTGATGCGTAGTGTATTATATCTGTGCAACAGTTATTGCGCCTTTCTTTTAACAGTTTTAAATTTCAGTTACTGTGCACGTTAAAAACAATTTATAGTCTTTTCTACGCCGTGTTTTGTTCTCACAGACACCCGGTGGCAAGTAACAAAACAACATTAAACTCCGGCAAGAAGATAAAGTCCTTTTTGCAAAATCATAGACATGTATTTACAAATCAAGTATAATGGGAACACAGAATGATCTTGGAGAGAGCTTTACCGAGCTGACTGCTGTAACCGAACGCGACCAGGGTTTAAAGGCTGAACGAATGACTGACAGCCACAGCGGAGAAAAGAGTTTGTGTGAACTTTAATGTAAGGACTTAAATATTCATATGTAGCTCACATTAAGCTATCGTATGGCTTCAGAAGTAACACAGAATAATTTGCACAATCGGGAAAAATAAAAAATAAAAAAAATCTCGGATTTGGATCGGCCCTCTCTGACCAATACCCGATCCGAGAAAAATGGCACTATCGGAGCCGATACCCGATATGAATATCGGATCAGCGCATCCCTAGTCTAGACGTATAAAGACAGCTAATCATGTGTTCATGTATTAAATGTCTGTCAGCATTAAGAAAGCAGGAACGTTTCTGAACAAGCTGTTTTTGAACATTAGTAGCATTAAATTGTCTTTCTAGAATGTTTTGAGTTTGAAAATTTACAGAAATCTTTTATTTCAAGACAACTACAATACTTCAGGCATGAATTAGCTATGTATACAACAATCAGCATTTACCTGTTGACAAGTTGGTCGAAAAGTAAACTCTGATTGAGGTGTTCGAACTGGGACTTCCTGACGCGACGGCTTCTCTTGAGCTCAACATGACCGTTCATGCGACCGTGGTTCCCATCTGATGTAGAATCACCCCTCAGACTCATTCGACCTATGGGTTAAAAAAGGAGTTACTAAAACCATTACCTACTGATGAAGAATAACATCATAATGACATCAAAACTGATGTGAATCATATAAAGGCAGCATAGTTGAAGTATCTATTACGTATATTGATTGGATGGATATTGTGACCAACGTAACCAACACTGAGAGAATGACTTTTTTTCCATTAAATCTACAGATGGATTCATATTTGCAATACTAGGAAAATTTATTGTGTTTACAACTTTATCTGATACAGGGCTCGACATTAAGCCTTGACATGTGCTTGTCCTTCGGACAAGTAAATCAGTCATTCACTTGTCCGAGTAAAAATGTTACTTGTCCAGGGCAAAAAAAGCCTTTTTTTCCCTTTTTTTTTGGGCGTAAATGTAATCCATTCTGAAGCAATAGTCTCATTTAAACAACTCATTTCCCTCTATTTGTGATATTTGCCTTAAATTGATTTCTAGGACACTTTTTTATTTTATGAAGCGCAATATTTTTCTAACCTTACTAAATGTACGTGTCATCACTTACGTCAAATTCTTAAATTTTATCAATACATTCAGTTAGAATAATTAGACTCTGTATGGTTGTTACCATTCAAATGAAATCAGTATCAACAAACTCCAACTGAAGCTGCATCGAACATTCTATTTAGATGTATTTACTCAGACTGTTTAATGAAGATAAGAGGTTCCATAAATGCATTTACACAGTAAAATTGCAAATGCATAAATAATGTTAAGATGAGTTTTGTAAGATGAATGTTTTACTATTTTTAACATATAAATATGAAATGTTGGAAAATGCAATGATACTTTTAAATATGAAACCAAACCACCAGTAGGAGGCGGCAAGTCACTGTCTTAATGAGTGAGTCACTGATTCAACCAATTAGTTCAAACGGCTAATTCATTCAATAAATAAAGCAAGTGGCTTTCTTTATGAATGGCTCACTGAATCATTGACTCACCCGATTCGTTCAAAAATGCTGAATCAGTGTTTTTGAAAAATTACATACCCTACCTTTAATCAGCATATTTGTGATATTTGCCTTAAACTGATTTCTAGGACACTTTTTAACTTTATAAAGGGCAATATTTTCCTAACCTTACTAAATGTGTGTCATCATTTACGTCAAATTCTTAAATTTTATCAATACATTCAGTTAGAATAATTAGACTCTGTATGGTTGTTACCATTCAAATGAAATCAGTATCAACAAACTCCAACTGAAGCTGCATCGAACATTCTATTTAGATGTATTTACTCAGACTGTTTAATGAAGATAAGAGGTTCCATAAATGCATTTACACAGTAAAATTGCAAATGCATAAATAATGTTGTAAGATTAATGTTTAACTTTTTTTAACATACAAATATGAAATGTTGGAAAAATGCAATGATACTTTTAAATATGAAACCAAACCACCAGTAGGAGGCGGCAAGTCACTGTCTTAATGAGTGAGTCACTGATTCAACCAATTAGTTCAAACGGCTAATTCATTCAATAAATAAAGCAAGTGGCTTTCTTTATGAATGGCTCACTGAATCATTGACTCACCCGATTCGTTCAAAAATGCTGAATCATTCAGTAACGAAACACCGCTGTGTGTTGCTCGGAGATGCGCGGCTGTTCTGCTGTGGCTTTGCTACTTGTTTATTGAACCACTGTTGTATAAAATCAATGTCACATTTGCAATCGTGCTGGTGCTTGGTCGTGTGATGTTGCTTACCTATATCATATATGTTATATAGAATATTTATCTTTTTTTTTCTACCACAGTATGTTTGTTTATGTTTTTTTCTTTGTGTGTACTGTTGCGCCTATTAGTTTAGATTTTTCCGTGAGTCAGATAACATTAGGCTGCACGAGCCTCAACTGACGCAACCTTGATACTGTCAAAACATTATACGTTATCAGTCACCGTTTACTCTGAAAGTAATAAAATCAGAATCATTCTCATCAAAGTTTCGGTGCTGCCCTTGTTATTGTTTGTTATTGATGTTTTAATCAGGTTACTTGTCCGGTCGGGCAAGCAAAATTCTCTTTCACTTGCCCCTTCACAAAATCCACTTGTCCCGGACAAGCGTTAATGTC